AAAAAAAAAAAAAAGAAGAAAAAGTATCCAATATACTCAATACTACTATAAAATCAATATATAATCACCTATACATCCACATAAATGGTAAAACATAACTATTGTCCAGAAAGTAGAAGGGAAGAGGAGAAAGGGGGGAGGGGAGGGGAGGGGCAGGAAGAGGGAGGGTATTTGGGGGACCTCAACTAATATGCATGATGCAATGGTACATTTCAAAACTATTAAGGAAAGAATATAATTGTGATGGATGTGTTAATCAGTTCAATGTAAGCATTTCACATTGTATATCAAATCAGTATGCTGAACCCCATAAATACATTAATGTACAGAGTTATGATTTAATAAAAAAAAAGAAAATTAGGTCAACTTAAGGAGGTTCTACTGAATCTATATTTAGTGTCTGACAGATCTACTTTGCAAATCTTACTCTTAACCAACATTTTAATACTTGGCAAGAACTCCTGCCATCCTAGCCATTGACTAACCTAGATACAGCGCAGTAGTAAGTGGTCTTTTATTTGTTCTCCTATTCCTACCTTATAACTAGACATGCTGCAGTGTTCCTTTTTAAACCAAAAAACAAGTTTTCTCACTGAGAAGGTCATGGCTTTTGGAAACGATCATGACCCCGGCTTGAGTTGTAAGGGATCTAAGGCACGGAAGGCGCAGCGAGCCTGAGCGCGGGCGCTGGGGGCGCACGGAAGGCGCAGGAGCCTGAGCGCGGGCGCTGGGGCGCACGGAAGGCGCAGCAGCCTGAGCACGGCGCTGGGGGCGCACGGAAGGCGCAGGAGCCTGAGCGCGGGCGCTGGGGGCGCACGGAAGGCGCAGCGAGCCTGAGCGCGGGCGCTGGGGGCGCACGGAAGGCGCAGGAGCGTGAGCCCGCGCTATGTACTTACATTCGCTCCGCGCCTCTTCATTCTTCTCGCGTTCAGTCGCGGCACGAGCTGCAGCAGCGGGTGCACCACTGACGACTGAGGGGGCAAGAACACATGCCGTGAGCGCGGGCTTCCTGTTTGTTTTTACCTACTGTACTTGTCTCAGAGAAAAAAGAAAATTAAAATATGTATTTAAAGATTAAAAGTGCCAACTTCACCCCCAACCCCAGCTGAGGGGGTCCCATAAAGGGATATGTATAAAGCGGCAGTGCGCAGGCAAATGTTTCTCTTTTCATAAATATTCATGATTCCATAATACATCTCTGTCCCGCTGTTCCTGCCTCGAAGCACCTGCTCCTGGCTTCTGGTCTGGGGCTCTGCTTTCCAGCCTACCAGAAATAAAGCTCTGCTTTCCAAGTTATGAACCTCATTACATTTTTTTTTTCAGTCAACACATCAAAGACAGCCCTTGTTAGCCGTTCAAAGCACAGTGGAGAAGAAGCCAAGAAGTGAACTGAAATCTGTGCTAGAGTTTTTGTCATTACATCGAAGCGCTTTCTTGAGGACCTCCATGCTGTGGTCAACTGAGAAGGTTAGACCCGTCACTGTACCTCTGAGAGGCAGAAATAGTCTTTCTGCTTCTACACTTACTTGAAATGATCTGACTCAGAGGAAACCAACAGTGCGCGAGGCAGTTTCCATTGTATACACTTTTACTTGGAATCTCCTTCTATTAATTATATATTTAAAATGGAAATGGCTGGAGCAAGACCGCAGGGAATACAAATACCACAATGTGCTGCTGATGGTGAAAATTGTGACTAAGACACATTCCCACAGCGTGTGACAACGCTGAGCAGATGAGAACGCACTCCAGACGGGAGCTAGTTACCTGAGACGGTTGCATTTTTTAAAAGGTTTTCATCAAATGGATTACGTTGAGCCCTATGTAATGCTTATCTGTTAACCAATTCAACCTGCACTTGAGGTAAGCCACTATAATAACTTCCAATTCCTCATATGTATGAATACTCCACTTAATAAATACTTAAAATGGACTTTAAAATTTCTTTATATATGTACGCATATGTTTTATGTTCCTCATTCCCTGAATTTGTTCATGGTAGTGAATCACAAGCTTTCAAATAATATTATAGTCAAATAAATAATTACTAATTATTCTAGACTGAATACTTAGTATTCAGGTAGTTTGGTTAGCATTTTGTAAATACAAAAAGAAAAACTACCGTCAAACCCACTTGATTTTGAAGTGAACTGAATTCAAATTACTGCTTTCTCACCAATCTTAGAGGGTTAGTTCTTACATTAAATGCCTAATTACTAATAAGGAGATCTTAGGAATAGAAAAGGATATTTCTAGTCATATTTAATTAAGTTTTTGACAAACATCTTTTAAAATAATTTTTTAAATGCCTTAGGATAGAACTATTTTTCCTTTGCAACAATTAGCATCGAAAACAATGTTTTGATTATTTATTTTCTTTTTCTGCACTTTCTTAAAAGTTTCAGATATTAGGGCATACACATTTTGTTTACATAATTTGTTTTTGTAATGACTGAGTCAAAGTTACAAGCATGCTCTTCGTCCAGATAGTGTTTTTTTTTCACCTTTAACTTTAAAATGTAAGTTCCATGGAAGATTTCTTTTTTTAATTTTCTGTGTTATTTTTGCTGCACACATACTTCTAGTACCTAGGATTGTGCCTGGCACATAGCATATATAATATAATTCAAAATAATTGTTGAATGAATGAATTTAACGTACATGCAATTATTAATATATAAAATAAACTGTATGTATAATAAATATTGGGTTCCTTTGTTCATCCATATATAAAATTTTAACGTAAAAATCTGAATTTTGAAGCAGCTTGATTAAACTATAAAAACCAGTTTTTGCATTTAAATAAATACTAGTGATTACTGAGAAACAGTACTGCAACTTACCACATTTGAATTGCCCAACTTCCGTGTCTTCGAATAATGAAATAAGAACTGTTCAAAAAAAAAAAAGCAATGAGTTTTACTATAAAATATTAGTGGTTTCCTTTATTATTTTTTACTGTATATATTTGTGAAAATCATCTTACCCTTTTGGTATTATCTTTTCTACCTTGTTCCTATTGAAAAGATTATATATATCATTATATATAATATGTTATAAAATAATACTATGTATTATATAGCATATATAAAATAGTATAAAACTTTATATTATATACTATGTATACTATAACGTAAAACTTTATAATATATTCTAAAATTATATCTTTGTTTAAAAATACATGATACATATGTTACATATAAAATACAACACAGAAATAGGTCAGGCATCTGTTGCTCTAAAAATAAATAGAAAATGAATTAAATACTGTTTATAAATAAGGTTGTGAACAAAGATCTTTATTGCAACATTATTCATAAGAGCAAAAACTTGGAAACATCCTAAATATTTAGCCATAGTAGAGTAAGAATTATGATACAAGTACATGGTGGGATATTCAGAGAAAAAGACTAAAAAATCAAATCAAAATATTTGCAGTGGTTATCACGAAATAGTAAGATCATGAGTTGTTTTGTTTTCTTCTACAAACTTTTCTATGTTCTTCTCTCCCTCCTAACATATTTTTTAAGTAAAAAATCATTCATTTTTCTTTTTTGTTCTCATTTGCTTTTAATACAAAAAGATCAGGAATAAATACCATTGTCATTTGTTTCTTAATTAAGAAAAAATCAATTAGTTGTTTTGGAAAATGTCACCAATAAGAACTATCAATAAATACACAATTGTAAACACAGACTATTTAATTTCATAAAATATTTTTTGCTTTCAAACAAGGATTCTTTCTTTGAATTACTGTACGTGAAAGTCAGAGCACCAATGATCACAGGTGAAATTGCAATTGCAAATGAAAAATATAATTCTAAACCTGAGGCTCTCATCTTTAATAAGGTGGTTTTTAAATAAGTTTACCCATAGGATACAAAATGTAGAATTAGGTATAATGCTTATGCTATGTTTCAAGTTTCCACCTATCCTCACTTCAGGACAAAATGTTCTCCCAAAAGACTCAAATAATTTTAGTAAGAAACCAAGACACAAAAATAAAAATATAATTTTCAAACTGATGTTAACAATACAGTTTGCTTTTTTGCATTCTCAATGTCCTACTCTCTAACAAAGTACAATGTCCTAACCTCTGAACCATAACTTACATTTAGCTGCTTAGAAAAATGCAAGCTGTTCTCCAATGTAGTATGAGTCATGGTGACAAAGAGAGCCAACATGATCTTAAATTTCTCCATCGGACTGGAAGACATTGTATAAGTTTCCCATATGTCGCTCTCAATTAGATTACTGATATTTGTTTCTTATCCAAAATCAATGTATTTTATTTTTAGCTGCTCTTGACATGCTCCCTAAATTAGGCATATTTTCTTCCAGGAGGAAGTCCAAGAAATCTGGGGGCAATTTTTTGCCTACAAACAAAACACTACTTCATCCTTACCTGAGGCTTTGGTAGAATCCCCATAAGTGCAAAGCAAAGCTCCTCCAGGACCTTGGATGCCTAATGGAAATGAGAAGATACATAGGCTATGCTTCTGCTTTAACAATGTCTGCACAGAAGATAATGACTGTAAAATGTTAGGAGCGCAAAGAAATGTCAACTGCCTAGAAAAGAATCCTTCCTGTGGACCACTGAAACTGTTGGAATCCTGTGATTCCTCTCACAAAAACTTGGCAGCTAAAAGTAAAACCAACCTTCCCACCAGAAAAAAGAAAATTCTGTACTGTATATATGCACTGATGAATGCTCCCACCGTGGTGTAGATACATAGTTCTCTGCACTTGCTAAGATGTTATGAAATTCTATGACTGAGAGTAACCAGGGGCAGTGCCAAAAGAGGGATTATTTTTCCTAGCTTATAGCAAAATCTGCATCTACATGCCAAACTGTGAGCTTTGCTGAATATTACTCATTATTGGCTAATGTGAAAACCCTGCAACTGCTTGCAAACAATGGGCAGTGGAGAAGAAGCCGTGCATGGTGCACCTAAAGAGTACCGCCCTCCAGGGTGTTGGCTGCACACTCCAGGATCAGGTTTTGCAAAGCATTCAATCTCAGAAGTGGGGTAGGGCTCCTTGGGGTTAGCAGCCAGCTGGGTGTGGTAAGGAGTAACATAAATGGACAAGTAGGGGCGAAACCTGCATTGCACAGAATCGGTAGTACCATGAACAATTGATTACTTAACAAATGCATTTGGGGAGTAATTAAGAGCTGAATAATGGGGGTTGAAAGCCTGGACTGTAGCCTGTAGCCCTGTTCCATTTCTACTTTTTTTTTTTTTTTTTTT